CCAGCCCTGTTGCCGGGCCTCTGCTCCCTGCCCCGCACAGCGTGTGGGATCCCCGACGCCGCGCGCCCCAGGAGCTGTCGCTACATGCCCGGCCGCTCTCCCACTCACATTCCTCCCCGCCTCGCCTGGCCCCGCCTGCCGTGCAGGCACCCTTCACGCCCAGGCGAAGCCCGGCCAGGCCCGGTGCAGCCCCGCTTCACCCAGGAGGCATTTTTGGGGTGCCCGCGGGCAGGCGCTGCCCCCAGGGTCCTCCTGTGAACAGGCAGCATGCGGGCATGGGTCTGCATGGCAGCAGTGCCGTGGCAGGGCTGGGAGGCAGCTGCATGGCAGCCCAGGCACGGGGCGCACAGCCAGCTGTTGTGGGGTGCAGAGCCAGCTGTTGGGGGGTGCAGAGCCAGCTGTTGTGGGGCGAGCAGCCAGCGGGTGGGGGGCGCGGTGGGGCAATGCCAGATGTTGGGTGGTGCAGAGCCAGATGTTGGGAGGTGCAGTGTCAGCTGTTGGGGGGTGCAGAGCCAGCTGTTGAGGGGTGCACAGCCAGCTGTTGGGGGGTGCAGAGCCAGCTGGCACAGGGCTCTAGGGTGCAGTGTCAGGGCAAACAGGGGGCTGTGAAGTGCAGCACCATCCAGGCAGAGGGTTATGGGGCACAGTCTCACTTGTAGATGGGGCTGTGGGGTGCAGTGTCAGTTGGGGCAGGGGTTTCTGGGGGCAGTGCCAGCCAGGAAGGAGCTATAGGGTACAGTGCTGGCTGGGGTGGGGGGCTGTAGGGTGCAGTGCCAGCCAGGAAGGCACCATGAGGTTCAGTGTCAGCCAGGGCAGAGGGTTATGGGGTACAGTGACACCGTAGTAGAGGGCTGTGGGGAGCAGTGCCACCCAGGGCAGGGGGCTGTGGGTGCAGCACCAGCCAGGCAGGAGCTGTGGGGACCCCTCGGTGGTGGCCCAGGAGGGGGGACACATGCAGACAGGAGATGTCTGGTGTCACCACTCCTGTGGTGGCTGTGCAGGGCTTCCCTGCAACAGGGACAGCCTTTGACACCCACCACTCACCAGGCCGTGCACCCAAGGGTGCTGGCCCAGCCCTCAGCACACAGAGGTCCCATCCCCCAACCCCCCCGGCACACAGGGGTTTGAAGCCCCCAGCCTGTCCCACAGTGAGGACCAGCATCCCCCAGCCTCGTGTGACCTGTGCAGGGGGAGACGCACCCCCGGAGCGGGGCCGGGGCAGCACTGCACAGCCCAGTCCCGCCTGAGTCCACCCTCCCCTGCAGCAAAACACCCGTCTGCTTTCCAGCCCGTCTCGTTCCCGGCCACTGCAGCTTCCTCTGTTCCTCTGCCAGCACCTGGCACGGAGGGGTTCACCGCGCCGTGTCAAGCTGCCGGTGGGGACATCTGGGGCCTTCGTGCTGGCTGTGGGCTACCAAAGGGGGTGATGGTCACAGCCTGCTGGGCAGATGGATGTGCCCCTGGAGATGCTGAGGGTGCGGATCCCTTCGCCCAGCTGAGGTCTGGAAGGGGAGAAAATCCCCCCCCCTCCCGCCCCCCCGCAGGTGGCCCGTGGCTCCCTGCCACCCAGCCACTGCCCCAGCACTCACCTCCCAATCACCCTGCTCATGCCCCCACAGACTCCAACCCCCCCAGTACCCCCCAGCTGGATCCCCTCTTGCCCCAACCCCTCCATCGTCCCCCATCCCTACTGGGGGCATTGCCTGCAGCCGGCGTGGCCGGGGGGCAAGTCTGCAGCACCGATGAGATGCACCTAATTATCCCTCATTAAGAGGGCAGGGCTCCTGCCGGAGCCAGGAACTGGTTCGTGCTCCCCGGGGCCAACCTCGCCACGCTGGCAGAGATCCCGGCTGTGCCAGGAGCCCCGGTTTCGTGACGTCAGGTGGCCCCGGCACCCCTGCGGCCCTTGCCGCCCCCACACCCAAAGGCAGCGCAGGGCTGGGCAGAGCCGGGGGGTCAGCGCAGCGCCGGAGGTCACCCCGAGCACCCCAGCGCTTTCGGGAGGAGCAGAGCAGATGTGTGGGTTCCCTCCCCGCAGGAGCATCTGAAGCTGTTTTCTCACGCACAGGTAACACTCAGCTCCAGGGATGCTGAGCCCTGGAAATTTGGGGGTGAGTGGTTTTGGAACTGTCGCTTTTGGCTCTGCTCTGGCAAGCTGGGATATCCGTGGGCACTTTTGGTTCACCAGCCAGACCGATTCCTTCTGCACCACCTTGGGGAGACCCAAGAGCTGCCAACACCCCCAGCTCTGCTGCTCACTGCCTCTCCGGGCTCCAGCTGCCAAGGGAAGGTCATTTTCCCACAGCCGTGGATGTGAAGGAGCTTTGAGAAAGTCCTTCTCCGCTCCTCTCTCCCCGGCTGCCCGTTCCCAGACCCGCAGGGCAGGAGGCCGATCCTGCCGGGCTGCCCGGGGGGCCGACGCCACAGCTCCTGCCCTCCAGCAAACCCAACAGGACTCACTGCGTCAGGCTGCCGGCGACCAAAAGGTTTTGCTCCGCGGGCTGCCTGCAGTCCCCATGCATGTCCTGTCCCTCGCGGGCAGGTAACGGGGCTGCGGTGCTCAGCTGGGCAGCGTGACTTTCCCACAAAACACTCACAGGCGGGATGGGGCGGTGGCAGTGTGGCATCCCCTACGGCAGGATCCCCCAGCACCACCAGCCGTGGGGCTCCGAGGGCTCCAGTTCCACCCATTGGAGTGGTACCATCACCACCAGCCTCCAGGGTGCTCGGCCATGAGCTGACCCTCTGGTTCATCTCTTCAGAGGCGGGACGGCCCCATTCCCAGGGCCTGCCAGCCCCCGTGCCAGCAGCAGGAGGGACTGCTGTTTGCAACGTGGCTCTGCTGCCTGTAAAGGGACTTGGACAACGCTTGGGTGCAGGTGTCCACACACATCCCGCTGACCGGTGCGTGGCCGTGCCCGTGCACCAGGAGCAGTAACCAGCAGAGGGTAGCAGACGGTCGCAGCCATCCCACTGCAGGTTGGGCAGGGGATGCCCAAAAAGCACCTCTAATCCCACCCCGCTTCTCCCAGGCTTTGCCCCACTACATCCTCCAGCACACCTCATGCCCTCACTCTGGATGTGCAGCCCCAGTGATGCCTGTTCCAGTCTCCCCATGCCCACAGCCGCTAACGCGGTGGATGTTGGTCTCTGTCACTCCCTAAGCCATTCTCAGGTGAACAATGGAACTTCAGCAGGCGTGCAGCACCCATCGCAAGCCCTCAGGGCAAAGTCCCTGTCCCAGGACACTGCCCATGATGTCACCTGGGACTTTTGGGGCCGAAAGCTCAGCAGAGACCCACCAGGCTGGAGAATAGAGGGCTTGGAGAACCAAACTGCAGTTTTCCACTGCCTAGAGAAGGGTTGTGGAGAAGTGAGACACAGCAGTGCATGGCAAAAGGACAAGAGACAATGGGCACAGATGCCACAAGGGAAACTCTGATGCACATAAGGAAGACAACCTTTTCTGGGTGTACAGTGCAATGCTATGACAAGACAAGATAGTGGTGGGACCTCCATCCCTGGAGGCTTTCCAAGCCTGACTGGACATTGGAGGCTCTGATCAACCTGACCTTTGAAGCTAGCCCTGCTCGACCTCTGCAGGGCTCTTCCACCCTATTTCTTTCTGACACCCATGAAACCCAAACACAGCATTGTCTCCTAGCTTTGATCAGGTCTCCAGGAGCAAATGGCCTCTATGGGGTCCATCACACCTGCGATGTGTCAGTATCTCCCCTCTCTCTGACACAACCTCTACAACTACGGCAAGAAGAGACTAAAGGAGGACTTGTTCTAGCTTTATCGACTAAACAGCACTGCCTGGGCACAATCCCTGCCTGTGGCACATCCAGTTGAAATGCGGCAGCAGCACAGCATCCACCGCAGGCTCACGGAGACAGCTGGCAGCTTCCTACCCCCCCCCCAGCCTCCGTGGGGGAGCAGGGCCTCTGCCAAACAAGGCAGCCAGGTTTCGGCCTCGGCACCGAGGGCAGTGTGTGAGCCCGTTGTGCTACAGACCCAATACCGCATCCCTGAGCCTGGGCTCTCTGCTCCACATGCCAAGTGCCATCTGCGGTTGCCTCACCAAACCCCAAGTGTGCACCCCAGAGCAATGGGACCAGCTAAAATGTGGGCCCCAGACTGGGAAACCTGGGGCGGGGGGGGTGGGGTGGTATGGGTGTGGGGGTGTTCATTCCCCATCTCAGCTTCGAAAATATCATGTAAACAAACAGGGTGTGATGAATGGGAGAAAGTGCTTGAGTTGATAAAGGAGCCCGAGTCCTGCCCCACAAAAGGATTTCTGCCTCTGTTCTGCTTCTCAAAACACTACCCATCTCATTTACTCAGCCACAATGTTTATAACTTTAAAAAAACCCTAAAACTAAATTCCCTGGGGAGTTCATAACTCTAAGCTGCAGCGAGGCTGATCTTGTGGGCATGTCACACCGGTCAAACGCAAGAATCACAGAAACTAAAGAGTTCACATGAAAAAGAATTATATCTGGGGAGCTGCCAAACTGACGACTTAATGATCCACAGTGCTGTTAAAATCCAGGGAGTAGGTGAAAAGCTGTTAAGTATTTGGCACTGCTGGGCACGCCTGTTTGGAGAGGCGCCACGTAAAAGCACTGATAGGGGTTTCGATAGGGCGTGCACACGTGTTGTGCTACCAACACACCCAAGAAGGTCTGTCCTGGGCCTCTCAGCATCAACCGCTGCTTTTTTAAATGGTTATACACTGCGGGAGCACGGGGAGAGCCCGACCCGTGGAGCTCAGCTGGCCACAGCTGGGCCACGTCAAACTGCGCCGAGCAGTTCCTGCCCTCATTCTTTAACTGCAAACCACGATTGCGAACATTTCCCATCCTCCCTCTACCTCCTGACCTCCAGCTCTGGTCACCCAGTGCACCTCCTCAGCCCCAGACGGGGAATAAACTCTCCGGCGAGGCCAGGCATCGATCAGCTTTGATGTTTATTGCTTGCTCGGTGACACGGCACGGCACGGCTGAGCACGCATCCCGGCGGGATGGGCAACGCGGAGCAGCAGTACGTTTCGGGCGCACGGGCCTCACTGCAGGGAGGTGTGAGCTGTCTCCCCGCCGGCACCCACACCAGCAGGACCCGATGGGGACGATGCTGGGACTCCTACGCTTCGGGGTGCGCTGGGTCATGGCGGGGAAGAAGGGGCTCATGCTGTGAAGCAGCGGGTGGCTATCGATGATGATGCTCACTGCGGGTGCGGGAAGGGTCGGGCAGCAGAGGCTGGTATGGAGAAGCCCTGAGCGAG